TGTTCAACTGATAGTTTATTGTAATGATAATGATTATTTTCATGGACATTTTAATCTTATTTTTGTTGGAATAAAACTTGGAAAGAATGGTAAATTTTTAAAAAATGAAGGTGAAATTGAGACAGTCACAGATAAACAAAAACTGATTTTGTCACTAGTGTTGAAATTAAGTTGGTATGAATTCAAATCTAGTTGTCTTAAATTATGATGCTAAATGTAATCTCAAAATAACCACTAAGAAAATATCTCAGGAAATATAGTAAATAAGACAAAAGAATTAAAATGATATACTAGAAAACATCTATTTAACACAAAAGAACAGTGACAGAATATGAGAAGCAAGTCATAAGACATACAGAAAACAATAGCAAAAGACAGGTATAAATCCTTCCATATTAAATAGTAATTACATCAACTGTAAATGTACAAAACCCCCCAATCAAAATGTAGATCTTTATAGAGTAGAATAAAAATAATGAACCAACTATATGCTTTCTATAAGAGATATCGATAGGCCTGGTGCGGTGGCTCACGCCTGTAATCCTAGCACTCTGGGAGGCCGAGGCGGGCAGATTGCCTGAGGTCAGGAGGTAGAAACCAGCCTGAGCAAGAGGGAGACCCGTCTCTACTATAAACAGAAACAAATTAATTGGCCAATTTATACATATATATATAAAAAGTTAGCCGGGCATCGTGGCGCATGCCTGTAGTCCCAGCTACTCAGGAGGCTGAGGTAGTAGATTAAAAAAAAAGAGAGAGAGAGAGACATCGATAGGTTGAAAATACAAGGATGGAAAAAAAATATATGCCATGCAGAAAGTACACAAAAGAAAACTAGAGTGTGGAGGGGACGATTGCGACTAGGGGATGCCAAACCACAAATGGAAAAGGACCTTGGATTATGCCGGAGGACATTTGACTCCCTACCAGCTAGCTTGCACAGCCTTCCAAAGATTTCATTATCTCCACAATAACATGACGCCATATTTTATACTTTTCAAACTTTTGAACTCCACTTATCACGTTATGGCAGATTTTGCAGAGATTCCTCAGAGTCACCTAAGAAGGATATAATTATGGGAGCTGATTATTATCTAGTGGCTGGGCATGGACCATGTGTTAGCATAGTTTCACGTAGTGTAAGCATCTCCCAAGAGGCTAGCCTTCTAATCTAATTTAACCAGGAATGGGATGCACCTCTGGGGATACTTCATTCCCTTCAGCTACAGATTCCCACACCGTTGGCCTACCCTTGCTCTTCCAATACACAGAAGAAAATACCACACATTTGGCCCAGGATCAGCCCTTTTATTTAATGTCCTCTGCCTGACTAGATATTTATATATTGTGGACCCTTTTGTCTTATCTTACTGCTTTCATTCAACCAATTGCCTGCCTCAATAGTTGATGCTTGTTTCAAGTCCTATAAATCTATCTGGTACTTGACTCAAAACTCTCAATGACACTACTTAATTCATTTCCTTTATTTGAAAATAGGTATAAAAATACACCATACAAAATTTTAACAGTCAAGTGAATACATAAACATGTTTTGTAAAATGTTTTCAATTATAAGGTAATATTTCCACATTAGTTAAGGTTGGATAACTGCTATAAGAAACTCATAAACTTTTAACTGTGTACATTTATTTCTCCTTTATATAACAGATTAGACTGAATTCAATTAGGAGTGGGGAGGAGAAAGTTCTGCTGCTCTACCCAGTTATTCAACGGCCAAGGTTGCTTTGGTTTCTGCTATCAAAAAGTGGCTTCCTGAGTCTCCTTAAAGTATTGGCATTTTACTGACAAATAGGAAATGAACACTGAGGATTATTTGAGAGGTTTTTATGGACTAGGCATAAAAAGCCTTATGTAAATTATTTCCACTGATTTTCATTGACTAGTACTCAGTCACATGGCCTTACCTAACTGAAAGGGAAGCTGGGAAATGTAGTTTTCTTGCATGCTCAGGAAAAAGAACTGATTTGATAATGTTAGCACCACAATATTAAAGCTCTCTATGTACTTGATCACTTTGGTTATTCCCTTTTATACAGTATATTAATGCCATCATTAAATTTACATTCAAGAATGGGACAAAATGAAAATGAATAAATTCTTTGGAAAACAAGCAGTAACTGCCTGCCATATAGTTTGGCTCAGAGAGTAAAAATAAAATACTAAGAAAAAGATTGGAAAGAGTTATCTGTCAAGTTATGGTAGACAGGTTGGTGGTAGGATAGGGGGAAAGAAGAAGAGTATACAGCACCCTGTAGGCCAGTCTGTGGTATAGAAGAGAGCTATTGCACCAAGGTTTTGAAATGTAGACAGAGAGAAATTGCTTAATGGAATCTGTGAATATGTGAAGGAAAAGGCCGTGGACTTTAAAAGTAAACAAAAATCTGAGAATCAGTCAAAGTTATAAGCCACACTAAAAAAATAACAGAAACAAAAATCCAAACCCCCAAATGTCTTTCGTTGCCAAGGGTCAATATTTTCCCACCACTATTGTGGAGGGTAAAAGTGCTACCTTAAGTCCAAAAGATAGCAAAAGTGTTTTCAAAAAATTTTCTAAATATTGTCTTCATGATTACAACCATGTGGTTAGCTAATCACATTTTTACAAGACCAAATTTATGTTAACAATATCCTTCTTAATGTTCCTTCTTTGGAAGGATGTAGGTAGAAATTTCAGACCATAACTAATAATGTGTCCAGCATTTATTCTAAGCTTGATTGAAGATAGGGCAGTAAGAGCACAATCTTGTGCCTTAAGGCCAAGTTTATAGTGGTATACCAATAAAAGGGATGAAGTAAACAGGAGTCAAATGACATGAGGTCCAGACCCAGTTCTGAGGTTAAATAATTTTATGAAATTGAGTAATACTTCCCCTAAGATCTTCTCTCATTTTTAAAATGAAGGAAAAGGAAACATTTTAAATGCCCACAAAGTATCAAGCACCTTGATTACACACTCATATGAAATATTTCAAATAACTTTATATACTTTTGATGCCACACATTCCTTTGACCTACCTATCTCTGATTTCTGTTGCAGCTCTGGCGGATAGTTTTATGAGATTTTGAGTTTTATAAGATAGCACTAAGAGATTTTCATGTGTCTCCACGGTTCTGCCTCTACAGCTTCAAGAGCCAGCTGGGATCATTTGCAAAGGCAACCTGAAATGGTGGAGGAATTAATGACCCTGAGGACAACTCTCAATCAGTAGGAAACAAATGTCCCAGCCTCTTGTCCTTTGGAGTAGCATTTCTAGGAGGCATTCTGGACTCTTCTCAGAAGTCCTGGTGCAATTAAGACCTTGTTACTTGAGTAGAAAACTCAATAATGAACCCTTATCCTGTTGGCTTTTTCTCTTTCTCAGTCTTGTTTTCCCTGCTTTTCTACTCCTGCATCCTGGGATCATGTTTCAAATAAGTTACCCATACCCACCTTCTTGACTCGGAGGCTACCTTTAAGTGAGCTCACTGTAATACACTAGATTTGAAGAATTTCACTGTATAACTAAGGAAACTGAGACACTGTCCAAAGTCACGTGGCTAATAAGTGGTAGAGCTTTCATTACAAACTTAGTACACCATGATACAAATCCCATGTTTTTATGCATTTCATCCATGATGAACTCTTGAGTTTCTTTTCACTTCCAATCATCCTGAAACTACGCATTATTTTTCTCCCTTGCATTATGTTTCTAATATCATCATTCACAGAGTGACTAGTACCATGACAGATATAAATGATAAAAAAAAGTAAAGACACCATTTATATCATTAATATCTTTTAAAGGAAAAGAAATACATACTATTATATTTATATACTCAGTAGCAATTTCAATAGCATATTTTCAAATTTTTTTTTCATTATTCTCCTGGGACAATGCCACCATTCTCAGAGTTCTCAGAATATACCATAAGCCAAAGGGTAACAAATCCCTGTAGGCTGAAAGTAGATATCTTAACCTTTTCCCCAGAGATCAACAGCAAAAAAATGACATTAGATATGAAATACCCTGATTTAAACACTAACCTTGCTCCAACTGTTATTTGTGCTTTGCTTTTCTATATTTGCTACATACTGGAAGATAAAAAGATACAAGAGAAGTATCGCCGATAGCAATTTATTTCAGAAAAAATGGTGTTGGTAAAATATCATTCGAAATACTCAAATCTCAATCAAGTCTAAGTAATCACTGCCATAATCAGCCTGATGGTGTTGCTGGAAAGCTCATGTATCAATTTTCTGAGATAGTGAAATAAAATTTATCGGTCAGCAGCAGCATTTCTGATACATTTTAAAATACATGACCAGTCAGACAATCTGATTTATTTCATCATTGTTATTTCTCTATAATGTAAAATACTATATTCAGTACGTTTTATGTACGTGTATACTTATGTCTTTGAGTAGTTTTCAACTGACTTTGCTGAGAAGAAAAAATAAAAAGTTTCATGACCCTAGTATTTATTACCATAAGTCAAAAAAAGGGTGGTCCTACATTTATCAGTCACAACACATTTGAGCAATATGGCTAAACTAGCCACTTATTGCATTCCTAAGTCTGTTGATCAATCATTTTAATTTCTGGGTCACTCATTTTGCATTCCCTTTCTATCTTATTCCAGCCATCTCTTTCAAACAATTAGCTCTTGATCTTCATCTAGTTGTCACTATTCTTGGTAATTTCCTGTATTTCCTTGTCAAAGTATTGTCCTCTTCTCACTGTTGGCTGTTAAACTCCACAACAATATTTTTTTTCCTGTATAAAGTTCCAGTGTCCTTCTCTTTATGGTCCCCTTTTGCAGTGGTCCCCAGCCTTTTTGACACCAGGGACTGGTTCTGTGGAAGTCCACTGATGGGGGAATGGTAGGGGCGGGAGGGCATCGCTACCTAGGCTCCACTTCAGATCACCAGGCCTTGGATTCTCATGGGGAGCACCCAACCTGGATCCCTCTCATGAGCAGTTGGCAGTGGGGTTCACGCTCCTATGAGGGTCTGATGCCCGCGCTGATCTGATGCGGGGGCTGGGTTCTGGTGGTGATGCGAGTGAGATGGGGAGTTGGTGTGGGCACAGGTGGGGCTTGACTCACCTGCTGCTGGCCTCCTGCTGTGCAACCTGGTTCCTGGCAGGCTGCAGACTTCGTGGACTGGTGCCGGTACACGGGCCCGGGTGTTGGGGACCACAGCTTTGTCTCCTAAAGTATCCTCTGATTTCCTTGAAACAGCAGTGGCAAGAGGAATGTGACTGTAGCCAATGAAGCTATTCAGTACAGAGCCAAATAATATCTCTGCCAGGTTTATTCTGTCATAGATTTTTATTTATTGGATCATTCGCTGAGAAAGTAACATTCTCTTATATATATAAAAAAAAGCAAATTCTTTATCTTTTTCCTTTTTACATGTCTATATAATATGGAATTGAAGTGATAACTGGAAACAGAGAAAATAAAAGACAACACTATGATGATGATATCCCTATGTTTTATTTACTTATATCCCCACCAACTTCATAAAGGATTTCATGAAACTTACAATAAGAGCAGAATTTGCACAGGGAATTTAAAACAACAATGAAAGACCAAATCTACATAGATATTGGAATATTTTCACATACAAACTAAAAGCCAGTGTGCCATAGCCTTAAGCATTACCATCTAAGAAACATGATTACTCCAACTAAATAGGTTCTGAAAGTACAAATTCTAACCAAAAATAGGTTACTATGCATAGCTGGCACATCTGATTGGTTAGCAGTTGATCAGAACACACTTCACCCAGGGACTAATCTACTGCAAATTAACCCTGCACTATTAAACAGCTGGGGAGAATTGACCTTGGGAACAACCTCCAAGGAAGCCCTCCCACCCAAAAAAGGTATTTTTCCTTTCCCCTCATATGCACACAGCTTGACATTTTTCTTTTAACATTGTAATAGTAGCTGGAGTTCCACAGTTAAAGTTAATTAAGATTAATATGTATCACCTTCAAAATGTAAACAATTAAGGCATAGTAAATAATTATCAGTCATTCACACTGTAGTCTGATTAGTTTGCTTATGTTCAAAACTGAAAAATTTGATATGTCATCCGATAAGGATGAGAAGCTGAAGAATGGGAGTAGTAGCAGCAGGGTAGGGAGACTGGAGTTAAGTAACTTTGGAACATACCTCAGTCTCCCTTTACCTGACCTAACCTAGCATGTTACATCAGAATAGTCCAGAATAATCCTAGCCATTTCATTGGTTCCCATTGAAATGAAATTCAAATGAATACATAGATACATAAACGATGTCATTAATTTTTGGTATGAATTCATATCCTCTGTAATACTGCCTCATATACCACTATTTGTGGATATTTGTTTACCATCAACCTCCTTTAAACACATTATACCAGATTCTCAAAGTATAGTTCCCAGACCAGCAGCATTAGCACTACCTGGAAAGTACTGGAAGTTCAAATTCTTGGGCTTCCCCCCAGATGTACTAAATCAGAAACCCTGGGGCTGAAGCCCAGTGTTTAAAAAAGTCCTAGGTGTTACTTATGCAGATAAAGTTTGAGACCCACTGCCCTAAATCATTCACTATTGTCCAAATACAAATTAGTTTTCTTGGGTTTTGTTTTTGCTAATGCTCTTTCCTCTGCTCTGAATTAATTTTCTTTTCCCAAATTTTACCTGTTGAAATGCTAGTCACCTCCCAAGGTCCCACTAAAATTCCAACTCCTCCATGAAGTGCTCACCTGTAAATGGGTTTTGATGATTACTGCAATATACTAAAAGTGCTTAATCAGTGCTGAGCAGGAAGTAACTATTCAATTGACTACAATAGCATCTTCTTCCCAGTAGGAAGAAGAATCCAAAAGTTGTAGGTTCACATGTTATTTACAGAGACAATGTCAAAGTCCATTAAAAAAATGTGTTTATCTTAGAGTCTAACATCTCCTGGTATTTATCCTTTTTTACTTTAGAGTTGTTGTAGGCACACTCAGGTGTTACTTGTCGTCATTCTGAAAGCTGTAGAACAGTGGTTTACAAATGTTAGCCTTCCTCAAAATCACCTGGAAGGCTTATACTGCGCCCCACCCCAAAATTGCTGCACCCCCCCCAAATTTCTGTTGCAGTAGGTCTGACAAGGACCTTGAAACTTTGAATTTTTAACAAATTTTCTGAAGATGCTGTGCTACTGGACGAGAAATCACATGTTGAAAACCACTGCTATAGAATAAAACCAATTTTACCAGCATTTTCAAACTGACCTAATCATATAATTCACCTGGGGCACATTTTAAATATATTAATTACCCTCTTTTAGAGAGTTGATTCAATAAGTTTGCATTGGGATCAGAAATCTGTGTGCTTAATAAGAGTCCCAGATGATTCTAGTTCTAAGGCATGTTTTGGAAACACTGCTATATATAGTAGTAGTATGTACAGTTTTCTATTATGGTCTTTATTTATATAATTATTTTATTTATTTATATAATCATTTTATTTATTTATATAATCATTGACAAAGGTATGTATTTTTAAAATTATTTTTCTGCTCTGCTTTTTCACAATAAAAGAAAAAATGCATACATATCTTTCTAATTGCTTCATAGTATTGAATTAAATGAATGTTCTATATTTTATATTGTTGCTGGGGTTTTTTGTTCTTTTTGGTTTGTTTTGTTATAAACTAAACTATGTGAATTTATACTGAGGATTAAATCCTAAAAGTAGAATTGAGTAAAAGACTGAACATTTAAAAAATCTGAATAATACTGCTAATTGCCAAAAACAATGTTGTATCAGTTTATATGTTCACCAACAGTTTATGAAAATGATTGTTTCTATACATTCCTCAAGATTAGGTATTACTAAACTTCTTGAATGTTTGCTAACCTGGTAGGTAAAAAGAAAAAGTATACTGATGTTCTGATTTGCATTTATTTAATTATAAATTACATTGAATCTATTTTATTAAGATTTTAAATTTTCTGTGAACTAACACAATGGCATTTGTGTATCTAAATGTTTCTAAACATAGAAAAGGCAATGCATTCTGGTAAAATGTTATAACTACCACATCACTATGTGACAGGAATTTTTCAGCTCCATTATAATCTATGGGACCACGATCCATCATTGACTGAAATGTTGTTATGTACCTCATACCTGTATATATAAACTCTTGGAACATCATATAAATAAGTCCTTTGATTTTTGTACAGTCATGCCAATATTATGGTAAGAACCTGGGAGGAGATACTCAGGGTTTTGGGCCACCACAAAAAAGCATAAAAGAAGATTTCAAGAGAGTGTTTAGGAGTCCAGGGTCTGCTAACTGATCTGAATATTTAGAACATAGAAATGGATGGGAATAGCAAGGGGAGGGTGAATTGACAAAGGCAGAATTTCCAAGTTTTGCATAGACGTAACTCTGCATTGACTCACCAGGCAAAATTTATGGTTAGATAAACTTTGCCTTGGAAAACAAACCCAGAGAGTATAGTGTAGCTTGTCCTTAAATGTTCTAGCTCATCTAACTATTTGAATGCATTTAGTTGTTTGTTTATGTAAACTAGTTTGAGATGAGGCAGAATAAGCCTATAAATATGGTATCACTGGTGAAGGCAAAATGCTACATTTCCATACCAGGAAATTCCCGTGAAGGAGAACTCACTGACTTGAAACATTTGTTTTGACAAAACATTTTAAAGAGTAGGACCATTCCATAACTAATGGCTATGTCCGTGTGTATTAGTTAATTTCTTTCCCCAAACTGTTTTTTCTTTCAGTTAAATAGATCAGGACTACAGCTAATAAATCTCACAATACGCTTTATTTAATTCATTATACAGACTTTTAAAATATGGTTGGTAATAGGTAGAACAATCATTATAATTAGGGACATATAAGGCTTATAAGCAATGATACACCAGTAGCCTATGCAAATTCATGTAAACTATAGAATGATCTGATTAAATGTGCATGCATGCAAGCCTAAGTGAAGAAAAATCCTGTCTAGCTATTCAAAAGCCTTACCTAGTGTTTTTAGTTTACAAAATCAGGCTAAATAGTTTTTCCAGGAAGAAAAGTAACATGATGGAATCCATTTATCATATGTGTTTTGTATATTTATATTGTGTGTATTCTGACATATAGTGCCAGCTATATTCATTTATATCAAAACACTTTTCTAAAAATTTGAATTCTATTATAGCAAAGGTGATTCATTATTTGTAACATTTGAACCTTAAATTATGAAAAACTTCTAATAATGTAAAATGGTTGGTTAAAAATTATTTGCTCAGATATGAATAATAAATTAGTAATACAAATATGAAATAACTTACTAAGATAATCACTGTAAAAACTCTTAAAAAGGAAATCACATTCTTTAAAAATTTTTTATAGGATACATGTGATGTTTTGATACAGGCATACAATGTATATTAATCAAACAGGAATTGGGATATTCATCACCTAAGGCATTGATCATTACTTTATGCTAGGAACATTTCAATTCCACTCTTTTAAAAAGTTATTTTAAAGTATATCCTAATTTATTTTTTATAGTCATTTTGTTGTGCTATCAAATATTGTCCATTCTATCTAACTATATTTTTGTACACATTAACCATCCCCACTTTATCCTCCCCCACCTCACCCTTCTCACCCTCTGGTAACCATCATTCTATTCTCTGTCTCCATGATATCAATTGTTTTAATATTTAGCTGCTACAAATGAGTGAGAACATGTGAGATTTATCTTTTTGTGCTTGGCTTATTTCATTTATCATAATGGTCTCCAGTTCCATCCACATTGTTGCAAATGGCAGGATTTCATTCTTTTTAAAGGTATATAATATTCCATTTTGTATATGTACCACAATTTCTTTATCTATTCACTGTTGATGGACGATGGACACTTAGGTTGATCCCAAATCTTGGCTTTTGTGAATAGTGCCATGATAAACATGGGAGTGCACATATCTTTTCAATATACTGATTTCCTTTCCTTTGGATATATACCTAGCAGTGGGATTGCTGGGAAGAAAACCATGTCCTTAATTACCTAGTTCAACTATATATCCTATTCCTTTTTTTGAAATACTCTTTCCACTTCTTCTTAAATTAACTTGCCTCATTCTTCAGAAACAAACTGAGACATTGCCTCCTCCCAAAAGCCCTCTCTGACTCCCTCAACTGAATTAGTTGTTCATTCCATATGCTCTTTTTACCTCTTTCACAGCACTTAAT